TGGCCAGAGAGAGGTGGTGGACACCTGAGCCAGGTCATGTCTTGGGCTGCTCCAAGCCCTCCAGGACTCCTTCTTTCTCTTGCAGTACAAGCTTAAGAACTCATGAAATATTATGCAAAATTGATGACCCTGGAGGACATTATGCTGAGTGAAACATCTCAGTCACAAAAGGACAAATATTGCATAGGGCCACTGTAATAAAACAGGACTGACGTCAGGTTTGAGGGAAAACAGAAAAGGAGTGGAGGAATAATGTATACTGCATTGAAACAGATGAGGGAGAGAACTGTTTAAAAGGGACATATGAGTGGGAATTCTTGTCATTACAGAAGTCCAAAGTGAAGGCTGCATAGTGGAGTAGACTTGGGGGGAGGGATTGCATAACAATGAAAGAGTTTTTGTTTTTCTTTTCAAGAACAGCGATTTGCAGGGGAGCGGGTACGTAGGGAGAAAAGTGCAACAGTGAATGACTGGAAACCCTAAGTCTCTGTAAACTTTCATTAAAATTAGTTTTAAAAAATCATAGTATGTAGGGAGGGAAAAAAAGCTTAAGTGCTCATCACGGGCTTTGCCTGACCTGCCCCTTTCCCCTGCTGTCCTCGGCCTCCTGCTCTCCCTTTCCTTCTCCACATCAGCCTTCTCAATGCTCCTCCAACTTCTCGTCTCTGGGCCTTTACACTGGTTGTTTCTTCCACCAGAAAACAAGTTACTGTTATTAGAGGGCGTGGAGGAGGCATTGCCTACACCATTGAGATGCAGCTCCCATGTACAAACTCTGATGGTGGTAATCCATAGATTTTGCTGGTTGATTTTCTTTTTCTTTCTGCTTTTTTAATTTTGTTTTATTGCCTCTGCTCTATATTCTTTCTTCCCAGCACTAGTCATTATTGGATATCATCTTGTTTGTTTGTTTGCTTAATTATTTTTTTAGTTCAGATTTTAATAAAAGTTTATAAAGAACTTGGATTTCCACCCATTCATTGTTACATCCTTCCCCCCCTCGCTCCCCCCAGTTTGCTTTTTTCTTTGGAAAAAACAGTTCTTTCATTGTTATACAGTGTGTGTCCCCCCACAAACTCTACTGCTCTACTCTTGCCATGCCAATAATACCTAATCATATATTCTTTTTGTACAGTTCTCTCCCTCATCTGTTTCAACGCAGTATACATTATTATGTATCCTCTCTTTTCTTAGCTTCCCCCCAACCCCAATGTCAGTCCTGTTTTTACAACAGTGGCACCATGCAGTATTTGTCCTTTTGTGACTGAGATATTTCACTCAGCATAATGTCCTCAGGGTCACCCATTTTGAATAATATTACATAGGTTCCTTGTTTTTCAATGCAGCATAGTATTCCATTGTGTGGATATACCAGAGCTTCTCTATCCATTTGTTTGTTGGTGGGCACTTGGGTTATTTCCAACTCCTTGCTATTGTGAACAAAGCCACAATAAACATGGGTGTGAATATATCTTTTTGGGTGGCAGTTATGGTCTCTTTGGGGTATATTCCCAGTAGTGGAATTGCTGGGTCAAATGGTATTTCTATTTCCAACTTTTTGACAAAGCGCCATACCACCTTCCATAGTGGTTGCACCATTTTACACTCCCACCAGCTGTAAATAAGAATTCCAGTTGCTCCACAACCTCCCCAGCATTTTTTGTTTGCTGTTCTGTTGAATTTTGCTATTCTTACTGGGGTGAGATGATATCTCACAGTTGTTTTGATTTGCATCTCCCTTAGACCTAGGGATTTTGAACATTTCTTCATGTGTTTGTTTGCCATCTGAATGTCTTCTTTGGTAAAGTGTCTGTTCATATCCCGTGCCCATTTTACAACTGAGCTGTTTACCTTTATCTTATTGTGATGTGCTGGTTGCTTTTCAAAAGTAGACTGCCAGCCCTTTCTTCCTGGTCTTAGTCCAGAAGTTCCACTGAAACTGGTTCATCTTATTAGCTGGTTTGTTTGGGTTGAGTTTGGTTTTTGTTGTTGTTGTTGTTTTGGTTTGTTGGAGTTTTTTTGTTCTTCTTGTTGTGTACCATCGAATCAAATCCAAGTGGCACAGGAAGAGATTACCCATCTTTCTCCAGTAGAGCGTCCGATGGATTCAAACCGCATGCCTTTGGGATTGCAATGCAGCTTCTCGCCACCAGGCCACCAGAGCTCCCTTTTATAGCAGTTTTTGAACTCCCGCCAATAGAAGAAGGGTAACTGTGAAGAGAGTACCTTGGCAGAAATTGAACCCGGCTTTCACAGATGGAAGATTAGCATTCCTTCACCGAGCCCTCACCTGGAGTGCTCTCCCTCAGACGTCTGCGTGCCTCCTCTCCTAGTCAGACTTTCAAACAACACGTTGCAGTTTGGTGTACTTTTTGGCTTTGTGAAACTAGTACCTTCTACCACCTGACTCTGTTTACGCAGAATACATTCCTGACATTTACCAACTCTGACGCCAGAAGATCCAGGACACTCCCTTCACGTGTCCTATCGTATTTCAATACACAAATCAGTAGGCCACAGTTGGCCAGGGACTGTCCATTCTCCCACTGCTGATCCTTCCTATGGCTTCCAGCTGGTTGCTACAAATAACCTCCTCACGTGCGAAAATCCGTGAATAGCCACTTACAGGCCAATTGTGCTAAATTAACAACCCAAGCCAAGAATTACAACCTCACCATTTCCCAGACTCACGACTCTGATTCAGCAACCCTTGTTCCCTACCCTGGCTGTGTTTTCCTTCCTAGCTCCTATCACAACCTGATATTCCACTTGGGATTTATTTGAGCCCTACTTTGATGCCTGGCTTCCTCTCTGGAATGTCAGCTCCAGGAGGGAGGGACTGTTTTCTGTCCTGGACAGACGTATCTGCACAAAAACAGTACCTGTGGCCAGCAATGAAATCACATCCGTGTCCAACCAGCTGACACCTATCTTTGTGATAACTTTATCATCATGCAGCCCAGAAATACACTCAGGCTCATTCACTTCCTACTCAGAACACACTGGTTGTTGTGTTGTTGTTGTTGTTTGTTGTTGTTCCCTGCTTTACCCCTTGTCAATCTCATTGCCTCTAACACACCCATCCCCACTACCCCAGTCACTGAATCAATCCATCTCATCAAGGGCCTTCTTCTCCTGCGCCGTCCCTCCATCCTCCCAAGCATGATGTCCCTCTTCAAGGACTGGTCCCTACTTGCAACATGTCCAAAGTATGTCAGACGAAGCTTCAGAATCCTTGCCTGCAAGGAGCAGCCTAGATTCACTCTCTCCAGGATGAACTTGTTCTCCTAGCAGCAGTCCATATTATAATTAATACTCTTCTCCAGCACCAAAGCTCAAAAGCATCAATTTGCCTTCTATCATTCCTAGTCATTGTCCAGTTCTCTGATGCATAGCAAGTAATGGGAAAGACCATGGCCTGTATCAGGCGCACTTTAGTCTCCAGACTGACATCGTTGCTCCTCAGTATCTTGGAGAGGTCTCTGATGGCAGACTTTACCAATACAATTCGTCTTTTTCTATCTGCACCTTCCCTACTTTGACCAATGAGAATGGGTTTAGGATGCATCCAATGTATCTGTGTCCCCCCACCCCCAGTTTCTTTTCTTTCTGCATCCAGAAGAGGGAGGTCACACAGTCCACTAGGACCTGCGTTGTTGTTGTACAGACAAGTTGGAATCAACTCATAGCTGACCCTCCAGTGGGTTTTCAAAGGCAGTTTAATTACCCAGGAGCAGATTGCTCATCTTTCTGCCCTGGGAAGCTGGTGGATTCGAACTGCATGCTTTTGGGATGCCAGCACCGCTCCTTACCTTGGGATGTCTGCCAGCACACTACCTGGGTCTGGGAGGTGCTCAGATTTGAAACTCTTCATTTTTACTTGCTCATCCATACCTTTTCA